GATGGCAATACAAACCCAAAGACTGGGCTCTACTAGCCAAAGCCGTGTATCCACAAGGGGTGGAATGGGCAATCAACTCTGTCGAACTCCTAAAGGCACCAGAACCAGGTGGGATTTACCCGGTGCTTCTGCAGAGAGGAATCAATACCATCTTGGGTCCACTCACAAAAATTCTCAGAGCCAGTGTGGCCCTAAGAACTGTACCGCAGGTGTGGGGGGAATCCAAAGTCGTGTTCCTACCCATGCCTGGAAAAAATGGCTACGTCAAGCGAATAGATTTCCGACCTATCAGTCTAAGCTCCTTCGTCCTCAAAACACTGGAACGACTGATGGACAGATATATAAAAAGCTCACTGTTAATAGACCGGCCACTGTCTTCATGTCCATACGCCTATAGAGAGGGAAGGTCTACAGAGACCACCCTGCATCATCTGGTGGCAAAAGTTGAAGAGGAAATACAGGGAAAGGGCTATGCTATGAAATATCTTTCTTGATATCAAAGGGGCGTTCGATCGCACCAAATACGAAATTATTATGAAAGCCATGTCAAAGAGGGGCTATCCATAGACCATCACAGACTGGATACGAAGCATGTTGATGAGCAGGACACTGACGATAGCTCACAACGGAGTGACAATAGAAGGACACCCGGTAGGAGGATGTCCACAGGGTGGGGTTTGTCCCCACTCCTGTGGTGCATAGTAGTGGATGAACTTCTAGAAAAATTAAAGGAACGAGGCCTCTTAGTATATGACTACGCCGATGACGTGGCCATCATCGCGAGAGGCAAGTTCCTAAATACGCTGAGGGATAGGCTAAGCTATTCCCTAAGGATGCTGGAGGAATGGAGTTGCGAAACGAAATTGACAGTTAACCCTGAAAAGACGTCGGCAATGATATTCACCAGGAAATACAAAGTGGTAACCCCTAGACCACTGAGGTTAGGTGGAGCAGAAATTGCATACGCCATCTCAGTGAGATACTTAGGAGTTCAACTGGACCAGAAACTTCATTGGAAGGAGCACATCAAAACATAGTTGAGCAAAACTTATGCTTCTCGATGGGCATGCAAAAGGGCCATGGGCAGAGATTGGGGCTTCGGCCCTAAAATCAGCATATGGCTCTATAGAATGGTGCTTTTGCCACGACTCATGTACGCGGCGGTGGTCTTGTGGCCCAGGGCGAAAAGGGCTGAAGTAAGGAACCGGCTAAAAGCTCTCCAAGGAAATTTCTTGAGAGCAGCAACCGGGGCCATGAAAACTACACCCACAGACGCACTGGAGGCGCCCTTCGATCTGCCGCCGCTAGACCTGCTGCTAGTGGGCAGAATTAACAGCATACAGGCTGGTATGTCAAGGGGAATGAAATGATTGGCCAATGTTGAGCCAATCCGAGAAATTTATTAAATATTTGTAGCGTGGCTAAAATAGACATCAAGTGGAAAGGGGACACCTATACGGTCTAATCTATGCCATGTTTCGTCCTTCTGTGTCTAGGGTGTGTCAATAATTTCGTTCAAAAGCAGGATAGGATCGACGAATCTGAGTACAAGAAATGCGTAACTCCACTCTATACTCGGAGTGACCGAACAAAAGTCAACAGGCCAACTGCAAAAGATCCGCAGTTTTATTGAGCTGCAAGATGAACGCCAGTCTGATGAAACCCCTCCAGCACTAGCCCCATCGAAAACCCTGCCGTCACAACTCCAGCGTAGTACTAAAGCCTCTCCAGCTCGAATTCCTCAACCGGTGCAGGAAGCAATGTCTTCCTGTACTAATGCTCAAGTTTCGCGTCAAATTCAGAATGGACACCATTGGAAACGGAATTTCGAAGAAATCTGGAACGTTCCCAAGACTACTTGACCATCGATCGTTTCCGATGATCTTTTGAAGCCGGGCTCAGGTAAAAGGCACCTCATATCGAAGTATTGGAAACAATCAGTTGAGCAGCTTTTCAAACAGAAATCCGTAAATTGATCATGGCATGTATTAAATCCAGGAAACTAAATAAGTCCAGTGACTTCAATGGTTTCAAAACTGCTCCAGAAGCAGAACCGCGGTGAGATGTATTCAATATCAATTGCAAATACCATATTCGATTTGCCAATTTGCCTTCAAGACTTTAGGCTAAATGCTGTTCGCGAATAAACCTGCGAAAATGAGGGAAATCGTAAAAATTAATAAAGCTTATGTTTGATAGTAGATTGGTAAGGTCGGTTCTGGATATAGGGATCTGAGGAGGGTACGTTAGTAGGGTGGGGACAATTTCACATTCTTCTTGACCCTTGGTCGGTAATAGCTGGTTCTACCTAATTGACTCCGCGATAGTAATGGGCGGCGTCAAACTTTTGTGCCGTTTATGGCGGGAGGTTAATATCGACCATGTGATATCTGACGTCGAATATCTACCATATGATGTCTAATATCTAATATCTACCATGTGATGTCTACTGTCTAATATCTCATTTCTGATATCTAATATCGAATTTGCGATATTCAATATCTAATATTTCATAGCTGACAATCATAGTTGCAAAAATTTTCAGACGATCTGTTGGAGGAGGATTTCTTTTTTTTTATGCCACCTCAATAATCATAATTACAACGACAAATTAATTCATGATTTTGATTTTTTTTTCGAAATCATTATGAATAGAAACTCATAAGAAAGATGAATAATTTTTTCATTTTTTATCAAATCTGAGGAATGTAACGAGCATCGGGGATGCCCGTTAGAATCTCCAAGAAAAGCTTTGAGAGAAAGAGAGTGAAATAATTCGAGTACGGGTTAGGTTTAGGGTAAGATTAGGACTCTCCCCTTTTGGGGTGGTTTAGGCATAATTAGGTTCAGGGTTAGGGGAATTTTAGGAGAAGAATAGGGTAAGCCCTCCGGATCGGGTAGGTCCGGCTGAAAAGCCGGCGCTCCAAGAAAAAGGGTTCCGGGGATTAATTGGTACGGGTGGAAGGCCGTACGGGGCAAAATTAATAATTACCCCGGCGGATTGCCAAAAATTGATTACGGGTGAAAGGCCGCTCGGAATAAAATCCCGGCGTTATCCCGGCGGATTGCCGAATAAATTATGGGTTAGGGAAAATAATATTGCTTCAAGTTTAGGAAATATGGGTCTTTTAATCCCGAGAACCCAGGAGAACCGATCGTGAGAAAATGGGGGTGATAGATTAATTTTAGGAATGGCGAGTTACTTCCAATTTGAATTAATTCCCCCGCAAAGGATTTCGCCCGGAATAGGACAGAGGGATCCACCAATCGACACCCGATCGATTGGTAGGCGTGATTAGGGGGGTCAGCGTCACGCGACACTGACCTCCGAAAATCAGTTACGCATCAACCGCGGAACAGGAGATACGTGAGTGATACAGTGCTAGGCCAAGACATTCCAGGACCCCTGAGGACACCCGATTACACCCAGGATGGTCCACAAGAGGAAGAGACAGGCTTCCAGGGGATTAACAGTGAGTTTACGGCATAATTAGTCCCTTTTTCCCCTTTGGCGACTCCCCAGAAGATTGTTGGCGGTTATGGTCGTTTCTCGCGCCATGGCAATGGCATCGGTTGTGTCCCCCAAATTTTGGGCGGTCTTGTGGAGGGACTTTTCCGAATAATTTCGGCATTTGTTTTCCCCCAGTGTGGATGGGGGGTTATTGGGGCGGTTTTGGGGGGTCCGAACGGATTTTTACGACGGATTGTTGTGGGATTGTTCACGGTCAACGAAAAGGCCAGTGGTTCTCCCTCGTGTCGCCATGGAGGCAGCCATCGAGTGGCTACGCGCAACAGGTGGGAATCGGGCATGAAATTTCCTCCGGGCTATTAATTAGTCCACAGGGTTCCCATATGTACCCTTATGCATAAAATTTCGTGGGGTTGTGGGGAATAGTGTCCCGAACAATATTATTCAGGGGTTTCCGGGATCTGCTCAGCGGATTCCGAGTTTTAGAATTTTGAAGGGAAGCTCAATTTATCGTGGTGGATTCTTCCTCGCTGCTAACCGAGCAGTGAGGCATACTGCCGTCTCTCTCGCGCTCACCCGTAGTGGATCCGATTCCGGAAAATTATCGATTTCCCGGGCGAAAATAATAATTCGTTTATTCCCCGATTTATCGCCGATCGATACTCCTTGAAGCCACATTCCGATGGGATTATTCTGTCTGAATGTGGGATAATCAACGATATATTTCGGGTTTTGTTAGGAGATTTATTTTTCGCGGTCATTCAAGAGTACAATTAAATTTATATTTGGGAATTTTGATGGAATGCTCATATTTAGAGGAAATAAAAATGCTAATAAAATTTTGAACTAGAATATGTCAGTAAATATATCTATAATTGATTATTACTCTTATAACTTATTTCGAATCTCAATAGTGGAACACGTAAGGAGAATTTTTGAGTTCATTTATTTCTTGCCTTCTTTTTCCACCCCTCTCTCCACAACTGGCATATTGAGCAACCCCAGGACCGTCACCTTTCCCCAAGGAGCCTAATTATCCTTTCCGTTCCCTTCAGGTTTCTCTTTTTGATTTTAGTGTATATTTTCGAGTTAATATTTTAGGATTTTGAGGTACGGTTTTCGATGCAACGAATATCGAGATTAGTTAAGTTTAGGATTGCGGATTTTTCCGGTTTGGTTCCGGTCAAAAATTACCTAGCGCCCATTGATTTAAATTTTAGCAGGTTTTATTAGGCTCAGGGGAAGTAGGGCGAAGGTAATGGGCATTTTCCATTCCCAGCGAAAATGCCACGTTACAGGAATCATTTTAAACTCTATACTTATCTCTCTCATTGAGATCGAAGTGTGAACCCTTCGTGAGTACATGCGCATCATATAAACATTCCCGGTGGTCTCGCTGGGTGATGCTATGGTAATGCAAAGAGTCAGATGAAGAGGTGTAAGTCTATCAACCTCACGAGCTGAGACGGTACGGAAATTGAAGAAATTCAAAGTGACGTGTAAAAAATAATTTCTTGAAAAAATTTAGCTGTTACAAAAGTAAACGCTTTTTGTTGGGGTAGAAGATCTCTGATGATTGAAACTCCTGACGAATGACCACAGCTCCGGATTTCAAGAACTCATTCTGCTTGCAGCAATCGATGACAATGGGTGGTGCTGTTTTCAAGAAGTCCGCTCTGCTCAATAGTGGTTCAGGCTCTTTATGGTAATAGGAGGCTTGGAAGCTGGTGTGCATATCGTAGAGAAGAGCGGATTGGTTATGTGCAATATCGAAGTTCACATTTCCATAGGGATAACTTTGCGAATTCAAGAATAACTTGATTTCTGGAACATTACAATGATCAAATGCACTTGCATCTTTCAGACCCTGATTGTTTCTAGCTATTTTGAAACCGAGAATGACGTAACGCGGTCTCTTCAATTGCGTTGAGCATTTCACAGTCGAGACATGCTTCGTAGTACTCGGCAGTAGAGGATACTCGTACAATTCCCAAGAGCGAAAACTAATCGGCACCTCGGTATCTTTTGAAATCTGATTGAGAAGTACTTTTTGAGTGTCGGCAGGTTTAATGTAAGGTAGCATCGAATCGATCTTGATGATTATGATTTAGAATTGTTCAGCCTGCGGTCCATCACTGTGTGAATGTGTTAGGATTAGCTCATGCTTTGCATTCACAACAATTCTCTGATAATCTTCAGTGAATCCTAAAATCATGCTCAAGGGAATGGATACATCAAAATATCCTGCCTCATCAGTTATGTTCTTCTCGCTGTCAATCCTCCAGCTCGTCTTTCCATGAGATATTTCTGGCTAGGACTCTGAGAGATGTAATTTTTCATTAATGTTGTCACACCAACATTTTCACGCACGACAAACAGCATTATTCACAACCTGTGTATTTGCAACAAGTGTGTTATCGGCTTTTGTCAATCTACCACAAATGTGCAATGAACTCTTGCTTGGTAGTACATAGAGATCTTGGTGTTGTACGAAAATCCGGATTTCGTCATTGTTGTTGAAGGAAGACGATGCAAATGGTTGGTGCGAATGAATCGGAGAATGAGCAATGAACTCATCAAAGATTATCTGCTTCTGAATGTTCAAGGTCATTTCCATGGTAGATGGCAGCAACAGCAGACGATGGAGACACAGCAAACCTTCAATTTCCTCCTTTTCCGCGAATTCTTAGGCCCAGAGTCCGCAGGAACTTGATGTTCTGCAATGTCAGGTTCGTGAGATGCACTGGACGACTGTTCGCTCGCCGGCATGAGTCTGTACTTTTATAACTGCGACCAATTGCCCCCCCCCCTCCCCCCCCAGCCCCTCAAACGCAATACCCATTATTTAATGAGGTCTTATATAGAGCCGTATTGTAATTGCTTTACCGCGGAAATTCACGAGGCGATCGTCTTAATCCACAATGGTCAATTGCAGATGGTCTATTAACGGCACCACGATTGACAAATAAATGACCCAGGCAGGTGTTTCATTGATCTTATATCCAGCTGGAATGCTTGGGAAGAACTCGTGAATTGTATGAACACGTCGATTGTTAATGCAGGCTTCTGCAGTTCGATTACACTCACTACGTAAAGAGTTCACATGAATGATGTTTGGAGGTGTGACCGATTCGTAGAATGTTGAATATCCTAGAAGTTTTCCTTCAAAATCCAGCAGTTACCCAATAACGTCCACCCGTTTGAAATTTATCACCACATCCTTGGATACTTCAATGACCGTCTTGAGTTTGATCTGATCATTTGCACGTAAAATGATGAGGATTTCATACACTGATAATTGATCTTGCAAGAAATTTGCAATATCAGCAATTTCATAGCTTCCTGTTGGTACAGTCAATTTTATCACCAATCCGTCTTTTTCAATGTAAAATTTATTACATCCTTCGTCGCTATTAGGAATTGAATTGTAGGTGAGAAATTGGACAAGCCCTACACTATACAGTTTCTGCGGCGATAATTCAATGGGAGGAAAATAGCATGCCTCTAGTGCAGAAGATCGGCCCGACAGGGGCAAGGTAAATGAATCACTCATGGTAGTCAACGCTCAACTGATATAATTATGAACTTTTTGTAGCTTTATATCAATTCACGAGCAAATTTCAGGCATAAATGTCCACAGATGATGGTTTTACAGTCTTGATAATTTTTAGGATTATATTCCACAACACTACCGCTACCGAAGTAATTAATCAACTCTTGAGGTGGACGCAAATTTCTATAGCTGTGAAAGTAGATAACTTCACGATTCTTCTTTTTATATGCAACCCAATGAGTGCCGGAGCCATCCTTATCATCAAGATTGACTATAGCTGATTCACATTTCCAGGGTCCACCTCGAGGCAACGCATTTCTTATATAAACTGCGCGAAAATGTGGAATTTTCATGATGCTGACATACTCCAACTGCTATTTTAGACATAACAGCTTCATCTTTATTGTACGATGCTTCGTGTTATTATATTCCGCAACCAAATCACTAATAGTCTCAATCTATTTCTAGGTTCCATACCATGCTGATTTAAGGACTTGGAGTAAGCGTAGACATTTTGAAATCTCAGTCCATTGGGGTGGATACTGAAAGCGAACGGGGCATTCGTGTTGCCTCAGTTTGAAGGAACACAGATAATAGCACGTACAGTATTGGGTACTAGTGGGCCGTGACAATTTTTTTGTTTATCCTTCTTTTTCTCGGTAATTTTGTCGAAACTAATCATTGGTAGCTCGGAACTTTGCTGCTTCAACTCCATCCTGACAACTGCTATCAAGCTCCATAAATACGCGACATTTATAGACTTGCACTTCAGTCTGTACAAGATTGTGGTGGTCTGCAGACGTGTTGCAACGCGGAAGGGGAAAGGAATAGTCAACGATACCATCAATAAATTACCCGTTGAATTACATATACCGGACTACCAGCATTGTGGACCGGGAACCAAGTTGGCTAGACGATTAGCACGGGGTGATCCTGGGATAAACCCATTGGATAAAGCGTCTAAGGAGCACGATATAGCCCATTCAAAAAATAGAGAGAATTCGCCAGCTAGACACACCGCTGATAGAATTCTGGTTCATAAAGCTCTGCACCGGGTTCTTGCGAAAGTCGCTAGTCCTGGTGAGAAGGCGGCTGCTCGGAGTGTGAGTAACCTCTTGAACATGAAACATAAATTCGGTATGGGGCTAAAAATTAGTGCTGATGTGAAGAAAGGAAGTGTCAAGAAGAAGATACCAGTGCGACATATCATAGGAGCTGCCAGAGACTCGATGCAGCATGGACCCCATGCTGTGAAGAGTGCACTTGAAGGTGCACGTGAAGAAGTTAAAAATGCTGCAGGGAGGAAACAAATGAAGCCTACGCCTCGAGTTCTCCCCATCCCAGCTAAAATCTGTGGCATTTTACTAGGATTTTTAATTCCATTATTTGCCGGACTCAGTACAACAGGTGCTATAACAGGTGGAACTGCTGGTATAGCCAAATCTATCAATACATCTAAACCCTCCAAAATTGAATTGGAAGAGAGTCCACGTCACAACTCTGTGAATTCCCGCGGTGAAGTAATTACAATACGGCTCCATATAAGAGCTCATTGAATAATGGGTATTGTGTTTGAGGGGGGGGGGGGGGGGGGGATTGGTCGCAGTTATAAAAGTACAGACTCATGCCGGCAAGCGAACAGCCGCCGAGTGCATCTCACGAACCTAACATAGCAGAACATCAAATTCTTCACACCCTGGGACTAAGAATTCGCGGAAAAGGAGGAAAGTGAAGGCTTGCTGTATTTTCATCGCTTGCTGTTACTGCCATGTACCATGAAGAGGATCTTGAACATTCTGAAGCGGATAATCTTTGATGAGTCCATTGCTCATTATGAGATTCATTCGCACCAACCATTTGCATCGTCTTCCTTCAACAACAATGACGAAATCCAGATTTCTGTACACCGTCAGGATCTCTATGTACTATCCAGCAAGAGTTCATTTCACATTTGTGGTGGATCGACAAAAGCCGATAACATACTTGTTACAAACACACAGCTTGTGAATAATGCCGTCTGTCGCGCGTAAAAATATGGGTTTGACGACATTAATTAAAAATTATAGTTCTCAGAGTCCTAGCCAGAAATATCTCATGGAAAATGCGAGCTGGATGATTGACACCGAGAAGAAAATAACTGATGAGGCAGGATATTTTGAAGTATCCATTCCCTTGAACATGATTTTATAATTCGCTGAAGATTATCAGAGAATTGTTGTGAATGCAAATTAGCATGAGCTAATCCTAACATGTTCACACAGTGACTTTAATGCTATATTCCAAGCCAATGATGGACCGCAGACTAAACAATTCAAAATCACAACCATCAAGATCGATTGGATGCTACCCTACATTAAACCTGCCGACAATGGACAAGTACGGCTTCTAAATCAGATTTCAAAAGACACCGTGGTGCCGATTAGCTTTCGCTCTTGACAATTGTGCGTGTATCCTCTGCTGCCAAGCCCAACGAAGCATGCCTCGACTGTGAAATGCTCAACGCAATTGGAGAAACCGCGTTACGTTAGTCTCGGTTTCCAAATAGCTAGAAAAGATCAGGCTATGAAAGTTGCAAGTGCATTTGATCATTGTAATGTTCCAGAAATCAAGTTATTCTTGAATTCACAAAGTTATCCCTATGGAAATATGAATTTCGATATTGCACATAATCAATCTGCTCTTCTCTACGATATGTACACCAGCTTCCAAGCCTCCTATTACCACAAAGAGCCTGAACCACTATTCAGCACAGCGGACTTCTTGAAAACAACACCACTCATTGTCATCGATTGCTCCAAGCAGAATGAGTACTTGAAATCCGGACCTGTGGATATTCGTCAGGAGTTTGAATCATCAAAGATCTTCTACGCCAATACCGCAGCTTACTGCTTGATCTTAAACGACCAAATCGTTGAATACAGCTGATTCACTGGCAGCGTCAAGAAAGTTATTTGGACAAGAAAAATGTAATCATTTAACAGAATAAATAAATAAAAAATAATTATTGGAAAAGTCGCTATTTTTATTTCTCTTCATCAACATCATGACCAATAGTTGAGTTTGCCTCGGTTTTCAATGATTAAAACATTATGTTTACAGCATGTTTGAATTCATGTAGAATGCCTAGCATAGGTGTTGCTGGACTTTCCTCATACAGATTTGGCCCTCTTTTTTTCTTCAATCCACTGCGCCATGAACTGACCCAACGATCTCAACTCTTCAATGCAATTAAGAATAACAGCCTTTTTTGCGTAATGTAGATCAATAATGGTAGGAGTGAGTCATCTGGAGCATCTTCCTCATTCTTCTTTCTCACAGCAGCATAATTCCTCTCCAAAAAAAAACACATCTTTGATGACACTCCAGATAATTTCCAGTGGAACATCACCGAAATGCTTCGCCACTATATATTCAAAGTCGGGACGGTACGGTGAAGTACTCAAATAGCGTATGTATTTTGGTAAGAGATTCTCCATAATTACAACTGAAGTGCTCCTCACAGAATCATGATTTATATCACTTTATCCCCT